TAGTGGATTGAGAAGAAGTGGGGAAGAAGCATCGCCCTGAGACTGCTGCAGGGCTGGGGAGGACACAGAGGAACAGGCTGGGACAGACAGATCTGGCCAGAGCCCAGGGCTCACGGAGATGATGGAGCTGCTGGCTCACAGCCTTGGGAATTTGGTTCACTTCAAAGATAACTGGACCATGGCCTGCCTTTCAACTAGCCTAACCTGGTTTAATAAGGAAATCATTGACGATAGCTGCTCCTCCTTTGAAGCTGCTTTGAAGCTCCTTTAAAGTTATGCTTTAAGGGAACTTGACCCTTTGGTGTTCTTTGCAGCACAGTACTAACCCACGTAGCACATCCCATGTTTAAGTGGCATGCCACTACAAAAGGTGCTGAAGACACCTCATCTAAAACTCTGCAAAGCACCCCGGTTATTCCCGCTCAGGTGAACTTAAAAAAGGAGCACAGCAAGGCTGGAACACAGATTTTAGCAGAGAAAAAGGGACCTCAGGAGTTGGCATATCTGGTCATGCTTTGCTAAAAACAAGGGAGATTATGATTATCCCTCTGATGGTTGTATGGACAGCAAACCCTATGGAGGAAGAATGGCATCTTGAGTCTGTATTGTGCAAAACCACAATGCTGGCTGTTGAATGAATTTGGGCTGAAAGTTCAAAGAATGTATCTGGAGGCCTTTGAAACAGCTCTTGGTTCATTTGCAGATAAGGATCAGAAAGAGCAGATGATGGGATTCAGTGACTGATGAGATCACTCTTAATCTGGTTTTCTCACCTGTTTAAAAGGAGATCAACAGGAATCCATGTTCATTTCCTTAAAGATTCTTTTTGCTAGAAATATTTTAAAAAAATAGTCTTCTGATTGGCATTGTCTTTTCGTATCATTACCAGCCATGCTGATGCTGTATTGGCAGTGCAGTGGCAGCATTGGCACTGCAGGGGATATGACCCAGCTGTTGCTGCAGAAGCAGCATGGGTCTAAGGCTACCTGAAGCTGCAGAAGAAGAAATCTGGCTGCCGGTTTGCTGCAGTCAGTACAAATGGTACCCGTCTCCTCCAAGGCAAGAGCAAATAAGCAATGAACCAAAGGCAACTGGTTCCTAGCTTGGAATCAGGCTGTAGATGACCCCACAATGCAAAGCACTGCCCTGCTGGCAAGAAGAAGTACATTTCTTCGAGCTGTTGACCTGTGCAGGTGTCCAAGTCCAAGAGTAGCTTCTCTAAGAAAAGAAACAAGAATACATTTAGCATTTTAATCCAGAAAACTCTAACTGGCACACACCAGAATTGCGCAAATGGTAATTATTACCATTCAGGAGAACTGGACAAGACGCCATTCTTTCTTCTAATCGCTATAAAGCCTCTCAGTCTGATTAATTCTTTGGTATGTTTGCTTGTAGTTTTTATTTGTGGGGTTGCTAGAGGATGCTAGAGAATCTTTTCTGTGGAAAACATATCCTGCACTTTCTCAACAGTCTTGGTGCCAGGTAGGATCTGTGCGTTCCTCATCACCCAGCCAGGAGTTGCCTTCAAAGCCAAGCTCTGACCAAAAGCTGTTGCCTGGAGCACAATGGACTAACACCTGCATCATGAGAAAAGCACTGGCACAGACTGCCCAGAGAAGATTTGGGTGCTCTATTCCTGGAAGTGTTCAAGGCCAGGCTGGATGGGGTCCTGGGCAGCCTGACCTGGTGAGCAATAGCCCTGCCCATGGCAGGGCATTGGAACTAGATGGCCTTTGAGGTCCTTTCCAACCCAAGCCAACCTTTGATTCTATGAAAAAGCAATGTTTATCCTTAAAAACAGCAACCCTAGCATTCATGGAGAGGGAAACATCTACTGAGCAAGCAGAATTAGCTTGTTGTCTCATCTATAGCTCTCCATGCCCTATTTTTGCTCAGAGGGGCAGGGCTGCTCCACCAGGAACACAGTTTACAAGGTAGTCTGACTTCAGTGTCACTCAACTCAAGGAGGAGCACGAGGACAGGATCTGTACTGGGCACTGTGCACACGTGGTGCCTATGACATCAAGGAGAGGTGATGCAAAATCAGAACTGACCACCCGAGCTGACGGGATGGCATCAGAAAGCTGTGCTTGGAGAACGTATTTCTTGTGGCAGAAAAAGGAGAGAAAGAGGAAGAGACAGTTGCCAGGGAGCTGAAGCCGTGGTTGTTGGTTCATCAGCAGGTGCATAGCCCAGCCCCATGGACAGAGAGGTGGAGTGGTAGCTGTCTCCTTCCCAGCACCCTCCTGCTCTCTGCCTGTTGGTGCTGCCCCTGAAACAAGGCTGCTGGGAATTGCTGCCAGCCCATCTCCTGCTGCAAAAAGCAATAAATCCATATTCTCTCCCTTGGAGTGGTTCCCGGAGTTTATGGACTTACTTTCTTCTACCTGAGCCTTGCTACTTATTAGAAGGTCCTCCCTTAGTCCCTTGCCTTCCCTCCATTTTGGCAACGGGATTTATAATTAGATTTATTGGGATCATTTGCTTTTCAGTCCAATGAAAACAAATAGGATCCCGATTCTGAGAGCAAGATCCTGAGTGTGAGGTGTGCGTTTTTGAGAGCGAGATTGCCCTCTAGTGACTTAACAGCAGTGTAAAAGTTCTAGTGTTGCACGGTTTTCCTTTGTAACAGAGCATCAGATTTCCTATCGAGGTTTCCGCTGGAGGGAGCAGAGTTCCCGTGGCGAGTGCTGGGAATGCCCTGGGTCTGTAGGATGCTCCCAGCACACACAAAGCATCCCTCGTCCTGTCAAGACAAGAGTTTTCCTTCTTTCCCCGATAGTGCCTGTGGGAGCCAGCAAGTACTCAAGAAACTAATTTTAAAAAGGGAGAAAGGGAATGGTCTCTGCATTCTGTAGCCAAGCCACATATTGCTATATCCTTCTTGAGAGGAAGACTGTGGAGTAGGGCCATGAGTTTATAATCAGCATAAATGAAAAACTGCTTGCGGAAAGCTTACTGTGATAAAAGATGCAACAGCTACATTTGGAAAAGACATTTAAAATAGAGACTTCTTCCACCATCACCACCACACAAAAACATTCCCACAACCTGACCTATACGAGGTGATAGTATATATCACACTTCCCATCCATCCCTCAGATTAAATTATTCCTTGTATTCAGCCCCTAATATTTATACTAATTCTTCCTTGAAAGCCTTTTTCCTCACCCTTAATTAGTGGCTGTGACTTGCTGTTCTGGAGAAAAAGCTAGGGATGGCTCCGTGTTTTTTAAGCTATGTCATCAAGAAATTGCCACTCATGCTCCTTTTATAAGTAAGCCCAGAGCACAGAGGTTTAGCAAGAGGAGTTACCTGTTTAAAACAAGTTCCATGCAACACGTTTACTAATGTGGAAAAGCAACTTGGAGGGTATTTCCAGGGGTGGGATCTGATGCAGGAGAACAGCACAAAAAGGGCCATGCAACTGGGATCTCGCATGGCCCTTCTCCCCCAGGCTGAAGCATTAACTCTGGAAGAAGAGCTCCTTTATTGGGCGAGGGATGAGGAAGCAAAAGCTCTTTAAGGCAATGACCATTGAGGAACTGGAGACGTGAAGAATATCCAGATCATCTTCTCTAATTATGGCCGCCGGCATTGCCAGAATTAAGCTCTTCATTTTGATACTCAAAATGAAGTCAAACCATTTTGATTTCTAAGTGCTGGTAACCATGCTGAAATAAGAGGGAAAGATGCTGATGCTGGACCTGGCTGCATTCACTGGACCTATCCTAAAACAATCCTTCTGCCAGCCACTGGTTTCTGTAGGAGGTCAACACTTGATCACAGAACACTTGATCACCTGCAGGTTGTCACATTTTCTAAAAATATACTTAATACCAATACACATACTTGTTCAGAAGCCTAAGGAATACTGTCGGAGATCTCAGGATGCACTGTATCTTTCTACTTTTCCTTTGCAAAATGCCCTTACTACTCCTTTGCAAGAAATGAAAAGCTGACTTAGGAAAACTGGACAAAGCTGAGAGTAGCCAAGAAAGAAGATACTATTCATCCTTTCTTCTCCACTGGTCTGCTTCTCCTGTCTTCCAGGTTGTATCCTAGAAGTTGGATGGGTGAGGACATCTTCATCCTCTCCTGAATCCTTCCTGAGCCTATAACAAATCATGAGCCTGGGACCAACACTTCCATATAGCACAGCTCCCATATGCAAGGTAACTCCTGCAAGAGTTAACTCCTGCATACAAAACCAAGCCAGAAAGTAGAGACTGTGCTGAAGGTGAATGGTAAGACCACAATTTGACACACGGGGGAGATGCTCTGCCGCAGATGGCCATCTTGCAGGCCACTTAATGCAGCGGCTCTCTGGGGTTGGGCTGTAAATCCCATCCCTACTACCTCATCTTCCTAAGCAAAGAACATACTTATTTACTTTCTTTCACACGTATAAGAAAAAAGTGCAATTTGGTGTAGTTTCAGTAATTTAATAACATTAAAACCAACATTTTTATGCTCATTCTAGCACTTCACAGAATCACAGAATGACAGAATGGCCCGGGTTGGAAGGGACCTCAATGATCATGAATCTCTAACTCCCCCACCACATACAGGGCCACCAACCTCCCCATTTAATACTAGACCAGGCTGCCCAGGGCCCCATCCAATCTGGCCTTGAACACCTCTAGGGATGGGGCATCCACAACCTCTCTGGGCAGCCTGTTCCAGCACCTCACCACTCTCATAGTGAAGAACTTCCCTCTGACATACAACCTAAATCTCCCCTCCCTCAACTTAAAACCATTTCCCCTTGTCCTGCTGTTATCTACCCTTTCAAAGAGTTGACTCCCCTCCCCTCTGTAGGCTCCCTTTGTACTGAAAGGCTGCAATGAGGTCACCCTGCAGCCTTCTTTTCTCCAGGCTGAACAAGCCCAGCTCCCTCAGCCTGTCCTCATAGGGGAGGTGCTCCAGTCCCCCAGTCATCTTTGTTACCCTCGTCTGGACCCTCTCCAACAGCTTTGTACTGGGGGTCCCAGACCTGGACACAGCACTCCAGATGGGGCCTCACAAGAGTAGAGGGGAGCAATCACCTCCCTGTCCCTGCTGGCCACCCGTCTTCTGATGGACTTGTTTCTTCTGAAACCCTAAAACTTCTTTTCTTTTCTTAATATTAAAAGCACTGGGAACGTTGGAGCTACGAGCCCTTGAAAAAATATTCTCTTCCTATGCAACACCCCAGAAGACATGGATGCTTAAAACTAGGGAAAGACCCACTCCTCCTCCAGCCTGCTGGGTGGGGCCAGGGGTGCAAATGAAATCTGTTCTGGCCAAGCCCCCCTGTTTGTATGGCACTAACAGAACTGGCAAACACAAAGAAAAATATATTTGAAGTAACAGGAAGAAAAATGGAGGTGGAGGAGAAAAAAACTGAGGAGTCAAGAAAAAAAAACCAAGATTCTTCCTCCTGCTTCCCTTGAGCTATTCAATACTACTGGCAGGGTTATCTTTGTACAGGAGCAGGACCCCATTTGACTGTAGATGGAAGCATCACAAACTGTCTCAGAAAAGGCTTCCACCTTTGGCATGCCTCCAAAATAGTGTTCCTCTGTTATTCTGCAGAGCTGGCCTACAAGGTTGGCAGGGAATGATCTTTAGGGTCCCTTCCAACCCAAGCCATTCTATGATCCTACGAATTAAACTCACTGTCCTTGTGAGGAAGGAGGAGGCAGCCACCATCCATGTGCTAGGTTGCACAGCAGGTAGGCAGCAGTGTGAGACTCCTTTGCACCATTTTTCTGCTTATGTGCCACAAGACTGGAGGCAGAGAATGAGGCAGTTGCTGCTCTGACTGACACAGGGTTGAGTTTCATGGGCTGTAGCTTCTAGGCAAGCTGTTGCTGTTGAAAGCAAATTAGATCAGCTGGGCATCAAGCAATGCCTTCCATCAGTTTTCTCCACCCACCTCTGCAATCTTGACATTTTGTTCATGCCATCAGTGCCAACTGCTTCAGAAAGCCAGCTGCAACACCTACTGGAAGGACAAGAACACCACCGATGAGGAGAAGAAGTGGGAAACTGCTCAAAGTTGAGGTGAAGAAGCTTTCTTCGACCTTAGTCCAGGCAGAAGACGGGGTTCTCTAAGAAGACAGCGAGCTTGCTGGCCACCACGTCCAGGTCACTGGTGTTGGCATATTTGAGCAAATTGGTGTTCTTGACAAAGTAATGCTTGAGGAAGTGCTGGCTCACACACTTGTGCAGCTTCTGCACCAGCCTCAGGAAGGCATCATGAAAGCAGCGCCAATCCTTGGTGCGTGGGTATTTTTCACACGTCCAGAATAGCACTGTCTGCAAGAAGCAGATGGGAAAGAAGAGGTGTTAAAGGTTCTGCTAAGGGCTCACACAGCTTGCTGAGGCAGTTTGAGTGTTGGTAAGTGGCTGACAGCCGTGGAAATTGGAGAGCCTCACACTGCAGTCTTCCTGCATTAATGATTCTGTAATAGAGGGATCACAACCAACACCCTAAGGGAGAGCCCTTTCACCTTCCCTTGGCTGTCCCCTTTCCTTTGCCTTGCAAACCTCACTGGAGATACCAAGGATCCTGCACAGATGGCCAGAGCAGGCAGGGAAGGAGGATTTGCAAAGGCCAGGGACCTCTGCAGAAATGCCAGGTGTTTTAGGCTGTAGAAAATGGCCTATTATAAAAATGTAGAAGTGTAGAAGTGCAAGGAGGAAGAGAATGATAATCTTATGAGCGTAGCTGTTAGCTTCAGCCACACTTGTGCTGAAGATGCATACAGATTTTCTTTCTGAGTACACTGGGATTCCAAGCAACTCTTGCCTATCTTCTTCTGACACACAATACAGCACATGTTACGACCACTTCCTCCAAAGTTTATTTCATGTGATATCATAGAATCATAGAATAACTTGGGTTGTAAGGGACTTCAAAGACCAACTAGTTCCAGCACCCTGTTGTAGGCAGTGTTGCCTTCTGCTAAATCAAGACTGACCAGGAACCCGTGAAGCCTAGCCTTGAATGCCTCTGGGGTGGAGCATCCACAGGTTCTCTGGGTAGCCTGCTCCTGTGCCTCACCACCCTCTGAGTGAAGAACATCTTTCTAACATCTAACCTAAACCTCCTCTCTTTCAGCTTAAATCCATCCCCCCTCGTTCTATCACTATCTATCTGCATAAAAAGAGAAATCAGTAGATTAAAAAATGAATTCCGTGTGATTATTGCTCTCATAATACTATTTTTATGCCTCCCAGATTGCATCTTTACAGACTTTTCTATGTTTGTGAAGAATTTTTTGGATGTACTTACAGTTATTGTACCAAAAAAAGCAATATTGACCATCTTGATCGACCTGAAAATCATTTCTAAAACAAAAAAGTCACTGCTCTTGGCTGCAAGAATTCCACTCCGTTTCTTAGTGTTCTCTTAATTCAAATTTTCTTTCACAATTTCAGTGCCCTAAAGAGACCCCCAAGAGATGCTGTGAGACACAGCTGAACTACAGCCTTCAATTCCTCTGCTTCTTCAAAGTTAAGAATTTCATCAAAATAAGGCATTATTTTCTAGATTGCCTGTTTTCCCCCTCCACTTGGCCTTGCAATAGTTGTAGTGTTGAGGAATTTCTTCTCAGATAACTTTTCAATTGTGAGCAAATTTTATTCATAGCTGCAATAACCACAAAATCTTTTTGATGTTGCCAGGGAACAAAAGACATGGTGAGGAATTCAAGCTGTAGCTTACTAAGAGCTACTCCTTGGAGGTTTGCAGAGCAGTTATCTCCCATCAGCACCACCGCCGCTTCTGCAAGATCTACAGGCAGTTGTTACAGTGAAGTTTCCAGAAGCAAGAAAAATAGTGCTGCTTTTCCAGTCAGGTCTTTCAGACTTCCTGATTATTAACATCATTCCCCTATAACAGATACTGGGACCGTATCTCCATATCGTGGTGATGCCTACCTGAAGATGATAAGCTGTGATGACGGGTTTATTTCCAGCACACCAGACATCCTCCTTCATCTGCCTCATGACTCTGAAGCATTTCATGCGACAACCACCATCTTCGTCAAGGCCTTCCATGAGTATATGCTCAGCACGGGAGAAGCACAGCTGCCAGTGATAATTGGAGCGGGCCAAGAGGTCAAAACCAAGTGACTATGGGCAAAAGGGAAAGTGTGACACCAGATCAGAGGCAGACTTCTCTGAGCAATGCAGAGGGATGTTACAAAGGGGCTGTATGTTAGCAGAGGCAGCAAACACGGTTAATTTTCCCCATTGTAACTCCTGAGTGATGGAACAAGCAATTTGTTTTGTTTCCTCATGTGGTGACATCGATTACTCCATGGAGATTCGGCTCTAGAGATGCCAGGTACAAACAGGCACAACTCTACAGGAACTTTGCCATAGAGCAGCAGGTCCTGAGCAAGTGGGGAGCAGGACTGGAAGGCAGAACTCAGTGTGTGGAATAATGGCAACTAGGACTGATCTGTTGCCAGAATCTAGCCAAGGGGAGGAACAGGATAAGGGTGAAAGGAAAATGTTGAGGTAGTACCCCACTTGCAGAAAGGTTACATGAGACAAAGCAAAACAGCAAGAAAAAATGCACTCAGCTACATGGCCAGAGATACTTGCAAGAAACTCATGCAATAGACAGTTAAATCAGTTTTCCCTCCACAGAATTCAGCATCATTAAGGAAAGAAATTCTCAATAAAATCCAAATAACTTGAAATATTTCTTCTCTACATCCTTCCAAACCGCTATCACATACCTGCAAAGTAAATTTCTGCACAGACTTTACAGTTGTTTTTACACTGCTCACCTTGATGCACTGAACTTTCTCCTGAGATGGCCAACGCTTGAGGCAACGAGGCCACCGGGCTTTCTCAGGCCAGCAAGTTGGAATCTCCACTGTAGGAGCCAACTCCACCTCAACCTGGAATTCTGATGTTTCCACAGCAACTCGAACCACTGAGCTGAAGCTCTCCAGCACTGTCACTTTATCTGTGAAGGAACAGCGTGAAAGGTGATAAAGGTGAAAAGATCCTCTCCTCAAGCCAAGCAAGGGGCTGTGTCCTGCCCATGTCCAAATTGAGACTTGCAGTTCCACTGCTGCCTTAGCACCCTCGTCAATGACATAAGTGGAATACGAGTAAAAGCTTATTTCAATCTACCTAAAGGAATGAGAGCAGAGGAAAAACTAAATGTGGTCAGTGTTGGTCCAACTGTGTCCATGGAGGATGTTTCTGTCCCCATTTTTCCCTGTCATTCTGGATGGATCACTGTTTCTTCAGTTTTGCTGTTTGAGCCAATGATGTGATCATCCTCTAACCCACTGAAATAAATACAGAGCAGATTACCATAAGCAGTTTAAGTAATTGTGTGCTAATCCACCTCAATTCAACTGAGGCTGGCTAGGGATTCCAATTCCAAAAGCAGTCCGTGCAGCAGACTTGAAGGGACAGTGATGAACTGAACGTTTAGGATGGTAACTTCTGTTTTCACTGAAGAAATATCCACCTAGTCCCAGTGGCAATTTAGCATCTTCCCCAGAAATGGAGGAATCCATCCCCAGTATAACTTTATAAACATCAGTAAATCTGGGTATTATTTCCCCACTGAGCCAAGCTGGCACCAAAACAGGAGCTGTACTGCTCCCAAGATCTCAGCAGGGAGAACAAGCAGCTGAAAAGCATTAAAGCCATGGCTTCAGCAGCGCTTAAATCAATTCACAGCATTTCCAAAAGTATCACAACTGTGCTTTCCACCAATGGCAAGTGAGGCAACACAGGAACTCTGTTTTTGCTTGTTCTCAAACAATTAAAAAACAGAGAAGCAATGACACTGGGGACGTTTTTATGTAACTTTAGATGTTCTGTGGGATTAAGTTCATTTTTCACGCATGCATTTTAAAATGGGCGATGTTGGTGGAGAAAAAAAGCATCCTAACTCCGTTCATGTCCTCTGTCTTCCTTCCAGCTGACCTTAACAAAAATGGAAAGACAATCATCAGCCCAGACATCAACCATCCCTCGGAAGCACCTATTCTGGCTCAACAACTTGATGAGCTGCAGCTAGACACAATGGCAGGTTTTCACCTCAGCAAGATGACTTCCATGTGAGTAAAGCTTCAGAGGAAAGCTCTTTCCATATGATCTTTTCTACGAGCCTTAATGGTAACATTTTATTCTCATCCTTCTTTTCCTTTCAGTAATAAGAAACAGTTGCTGGAAGAATGCAATCATCTAGCTGAACTTGACTTTAACATCTTTTCTCCTGGGAGTAAAATTTGAAGTGTCATCAGAGGAGGTGAAATATGTCTATATTTCTAGAATACAGAAGACCCATTTCAGGCTGCTGATGGATAAAGACATTCTGCAAATATGATGTGAGAAAAAGCACCATAGTCTGAACTTGACCATGTCACAGTATCTTAATGTGAAAAGATGAACATAAACCGTTCAGCTTGGATGAAGCCATGTGTTCATTAGCTGTAGTCTATAACATGCCTTTAGGACGCTAAGAATTAAATATGAGGATCACTGTTTAGGCAGCATTTTGCTGCAGATGTCGCAGCTATGAAGACATGTTGCATGCACCACTGATTGCATTATGTCAGCACTTCCAGTACAAATTGCCACAGGATATACACAGGCACTTTGGAATTGCTCACAGAGGGATCAGAATCACTACTGAAAGCAAGTTTCCATGAGATCTACTGAATAGTCTGGGCACTGGGGAACATGGAGCACTTGTTCAACAGACTTTTTTTCAAGACCTTCTACAAACTGGAAAGGTAAGGGCATCTAAGTCTTCCCTAGAATATTACTTGCCCTATTCATATCTTCAAACACTTCTCCAGCTTACACACTTACCCTGAATCCAATTTTTCCTACAGCATCTTTCTGACTAGTCAAGTTATACTGCAGTTGCTGTACCAGAAAAAAGATTTTTTTTCCCCAAATCTCTAACTGCTTTGAAAAACTGGGATGCGTCTTGGTTGAGGGCGATGTTGGTGGAGAACTTTCCCAAGTTCCTAAGAGAAGAGCACCATCCTGAAGAACTCAGGGTCTACTTAATTCTGTCTTCAGTGCAGGTCTACACTTGCACCACTGCAATGGGTTAGAAACTCCCTGACGTTGGGAGGGTTTGTTGTTTTCTAACTTCTAATTATGTGAATGACACAAACACTTTGTGTACATAGTAGTTCCCCCTCTACTAGCTGCAGAAGAGAGTTCCCCTTACAAGTTCCCCCTATACCCATCCCCATTAAACTCACTGGAGAGGTTACAGGAAACAATTGACTTTTCCACCAGCTCTCGGAAGACGATAAGGACTTTGGCTGGAACCAGATCACCTTCAATGTTCACATCCGTTTCGTGCCACTGCTGAAGGCTTTTTGAGAACTGTTCCACCTCGAGCCATTGATGCAGCTCCTCAGGGTCCCGCACAGAGGAGAGTAGCTTGGCTCCATGCACAGTGTAATAACGCCAGTGTCGGATTTGGTTTTCCTTGTACCCAGTCAGGCCACGCAGAGGGACAGTGATGAGGAATTGGCTCGGCGCTAAGACCTAGGAGAGTTTAGAGAGATTAAGAACACAGGCAAGGGCAGATCAGTGACCATGAGGGTTAAGGAAGTAACACGTGCAAATGGAGGCTTTGAAGGGAAGGAAAAAATATGGTAAAATAGGAATGATTGAACACATCTAGGACCTCTTCCATACCTATCTGAAATTTACCTTGGAGGTATACGGAGTAAGAGGAAATTGTCCTTTAGGAGTCTGGTGTGACAGACGTGGCCCACAGAAGACAAGAGCACACTTTGGCTGGTTTGCCACCACATCTGCCATAGTTTTCCCCATTCCTTGTTATTTCTAGTCTACAATTGTATGAAAACTAAGAGCAACTAAGGAACTGGAAGGTGGTTATCTCAAGGTCAATTAAGCACCCTTGTCATTCTCCAGAAACAATCCCAAACATTCAGATAATCTTCAGTGTAATTTAGGATTTAAAATGTTACCGCAGAGGTGCCAAGGTCCTGAGGGCACTGACAAGACCTTAATGGCTCCAAGCAGGCTTTCTGGGGCTCCTACCCACATCTTTTGCCCATGGACCTCCATTTCAGCTCAGCCCCAGACTGTGCTCCTTCCCATAACAAAACCAGCTTGTATGTGGGTGGCTGTCATCCCCCTCAAAATCAGAAGGGCATGCCAGAAGGGCTGGGAAACAACAGCCCAGCTGAAAGCAAAAGGAGAAAGGTGCTGGGGTATAATGCAGATCTGGGCCCTACACAATCGTATGCTGTTTGACAAGGCTTCAACATCACTTTGAGAGGTTACACTCATATCAAATTCAGCTGTGCAGCTGGTGTCCTCATGGCCTAAAGAAACCCCAGGCCTGTACCCATGCTCTGTCACACCAGGCTTGCATGCCAAACCCAGACTTCAGGATCCAAACAAGTCACAGGCAGTGGTCCAGGAGCATCCATTTCTGCAACATATAACCCGTGGCCAACCCTGTTGCATTAAAAATCTACCTGCAGCATATTGATCAATTTAAGTGCAGCCAGGATATCTCAGGCAAGTGGAAGCATTGGGTTAGAAATACAGGCAATAAATAAAGTTTCCTGCAGAAAAGCTGAGATAGGCATGGGAGGACAAGTTAGGAGGATGAATCGTCTGGAGAAGAGGATGGGTGAGGAGGAAGCAGGCACCAGGAGGGTGCTGTACCTGGATGGATGGGTGAAACGGGCGCTTTCCCCGCAGCAGAGCTGACCACTTGGCCAGTAAGGCTGGCTGATCCTGAGAGCAGCAGAGAGGAAAATGAGAATCACACAGATCAGAGAGAAAGCATGTGGCAGGTCATTCATTCACCAAGCAAAGCTGCAAGCGTACTTCAAGCCTCTTTGCTAAAGGAAAGAAATCTCCCCTGCCAGCATTACAGAGCTGATTGCTTGGCTATGTGGTTGGCCAGTGCTGTACTAGGAATTACTCTGGATGTTAACCTGCTCCTTACATCTTTATTGAAGCCTCCACAGCCTTTGCACCAGAACTGTACAGATGGCGGCTGCAAAAAAAAAACAACGGACCGCAACTTGGAAGCTGTAAAAAGTGAACTATTTAATTTGGTCTCTCTGAAGTTTTATTTCATGTTCTCTTATTAAAGAATTTGGCTTTCTGCCCCTGAGTTGCAAGAAAAAACACCAGTGAATATCTACAAACTTTGTTAAATTCCCCACGTAGCCTGTGTATCTAAAAGGAGGCTTGTACAATTTCTCAACAAATCTACACCCTGCATCAAGTTAAATTACATCCTTTTAACCAGAAACTGGAAGTTCTGAAAAGTCACCATAAATTTAATTTACAGGAGGGAAAAAAAAAAAAAAAAAAAAAAAAGAATGCTGCAAAATTAAACAAAGAATTGTTAATATACTGACTTTCCCTTGACGCAAGTCTCCTCTAGGGTGAGTTATCTCAACAATGATATTAAAGATTCTATTTTTTGTAAGCAGAACAGACCAAGTCAAAAACATTTTCTTATTAACCCATTCTTTGCTGCCCCGTGTCTACAGCACAAAGTCAGCCAGCCCTCCAAGTGTGATTGTCATTGACTTACAGCACTGGGTTAAGTAACAAATCTGCCACTTTTTAAGAAAATATATTTCAGGAATTTCTTTTAAGCTGAGGGTGTTCAGACCAGGCTAGAGTACGCCATGTTGTTTCTACCAATCAGAGTAGATTGCCTTGTTTTTGTTCTGTTTTGTTTTACAGAGCAGTCACTTTACCTTGACCCTGGTTTTGTCAGTCCTCATAAGCCAAGCAGGTTTGTTCCAGTATGAGAGGTGGGTGGCAGACCACAGAACCAAGGAAGGTGTGGATCAGGATGTGGCAGTGTGTTGTGGCACTGTGGTCATTCCTACTGACAAGCACATCTGCCAATGTAAATCTGAATGTGTTTATCCCCAGAGCAACAGTCAGTTTTCAGACTGGATGACTCTATTCTGCCTCCACCTCCGTGCCCTTCAAGAAGCTTCATACCCAGAATTCTTCCCTCTCAATCGTAGACAGCTGCAAAAGTTGCCTTATGCTTTTACACGCTGTGCATTTATCCATAAGTGGCTGCATTTTAGTGTATGGGTTGACATAACTAGAGTATGTAATGTATTTCAGATGAGGATCGTTTTCATCTGAAGTTACTACTGCTATCAGTTATTACTTATACCCTTTTAGTCATTATTCTTGTGTTAAATAGTCAAAGAAAACAGTCTTCTGTCACACCTGGGACAGGACATTGTTGTTTTGGTATCTGATTGTCTAAAATGGCTTCTCTTCTCCCACCAATAAGTGGGTTTCTTCCCAGAAAAAGAAGTTCTAATTCATGACCAAGGAAAAAATAATACATTTTTCTGTAGAAGCTTTTTATGTTCACAGCAGAAGAAAGCTTTCTGAAGTTTTTTTTAGTGAGTTGACAGGTTTTTCACCTGTGAAAAATATGAGTCATAGCTCATACAGGCACGGGCATTTTTTTCCTTTTAATGTTACTGCAGTACTTTTTTTTTTCTTTTTTTTCTGTCTTTTGGCTTCTGCTTGCAGATTGACAGCTCTGGCAACAGCATCTCTTTGTAAAAGCAGCAGCTGTGAAAAGAGACTCTGCCTCATTTACCCACCCCTCTCTGATACACCTCCAGTATTAAGATGCCCACAAGTAAGTTCTTATGACTCAGCCAGTCACAAGAATCCCCACACTGAAATATCACTGCTGTTTTACTTGGGGGTACCTGTCCATACACTCACAGAATGGAAAATCACTGACTGATTGCCTACAAACTACAGACACTACACTAGATCTCTTGTCCATACCTTAATATTCTCATTGTGAATGCCAGAGTTGGAGATAGCCTGGAATCGTGTGGCCTTATAGCTGATTTCTGTGGTCAGTTGCTGGATGATTTTCTGCACCTCCTCCACTGTTTTGGAGACCAGATAATGGCGTGGCTCCACCTGTCAGTTCCAAGAAAGACACTTCATATTACAGATAACTGTAGTCTTTGTCTCCAGCGGTAAGAACAATCAGCTTGGTGAACCTGAAACATATGTGCCTATGCTGCAGTGGGAATAAAAACTTGTTCCCTTTAGACTACAGTCAACTACCATGAGGCAGAGCTCTTTCTGATGAACCCTGAAAGGCAAAATTCAAGACTGCCAAGGATGACTTGATATTCTTATGCCATATCAGTGAATGGAAGAGAAGGAGTTAATTGCATGGATGAATTTGCTAACCATTAGCTGCAGCCTTGTTCTTCACCCATTTTGATCCAGGACAGCCAGCTATTCCCCTGCAGAGCCACTCTCAGAGTCGGATTTTTGCTCCAAGAGCTGGCAAGACTACAAGAATAACAGATAACTCATGCATTAGTCAGATTGCAACTGTATGTGGCAACATTTAGCTGCCCATGTAATACACTGAAAATATCCATACTATCTTCATGTCTTAGTACAGGGACAGTCCTTGCCTAGATGGTTTCAAGGTATCTTTCCAAAGATGTTTCCATTGAGGGCTGGTAGTTTGTGTGACCTGGTAGATACTCCTTCAATTCAAACATCATTAGTGCAGTTATTTATGAAAAAATATTTCAGTGGAAGGTCTGAAGTGAAGAATGGATAACTGCTTGCCTAGGATCAGTTATCCAAGGAAGAGCAATTGGAACAGTTGGAATTAGCTCCTCTCCTTTCTCAGCCAACAAAACTGATTGTTGGGATTGTCCAGTCTGGAGGAGGCTCAGTGAGGACCTTATTGTTCTCTACAACTGCCTGAAAGAAGGTTGTGATGAGGTGGGGTCAGCCTCATATCCCACGTAACTAGCAATAGGACTACAGGGAATACAGGGAATGGCCTCAAGTTGTGACAGGGGAGATTCATGTTGCAGGTTAGGAGCAATTTCTTTTCTGAAAGGGTGATCAGGTGCTGGAATGGCCTGCCCAGAGATGTGGTGGAGTCACTGACCCTGGAGGTGTTCAAGAAACAGTTAGATGTTGTACTAAGGAACATGGTTTAGTGGGGAAATATTGGTGGTAGGTGGATGGTTGGACGAAATGATCTTGATGGTCTTTTCCAACTTTGGTGATTCATGGAAAGGATTCTGAGAAAGGTAACAGTATTTTTACTAAGCCTGCATAGTATTTACAAGTGGGAAACACATCGAGACAGTGGAATTATATCCCCTTGGCCAGTCTCTCATCTATCTTTGGCATGCTGATTTTTTGCTATGTTAACAACACACAGATCCTTATGCTTGTATCTAATACAGACATAATACACGGATCCACCTGTAGCTATAGCTACTTTCTTTCACTAGTCCAGATGAATGCCTTAGTTCTTAGAGCAGTTCAATGAATTTGACTTCCTCAACAAGACACCTAATGGCTCCTTCAACAAGTAAATGTTATGAGTGGTAGTGAAACTTATCCACCCCTAATTGATTTCAGACTCTAAAAATAAACTATTTAAAGTGTATCATCACCATTGGTTGGCTCAAGCTGAGGTCCAGGACTGCCCCTTGTACTCTTTCCTCATGCTGTGTTCTCTCTGAGTGGTACCTGTCAGAAACACCTCTTTCTCTCTCTGGTGTCCTGGAAGAATCCATCCAACCTAGCATGGCCTTATTTAATTGTGCCTTCATTACCTATTTGCTGAACTTCAGCTGTTGCCACAAAGTCTTTAGGACAGTACAGACTCTAAAAACTTCAGGAAGGTACCACTAAACAACTCCATCTGCATGTAGATCCTCATCACTGAGGCAAGGATGGAAGAACAAATGACATGAGACATGCGTTACCCACAGTTAATTCCAAATACCTCCCCAGTCTGCTACTGCAAAGTAAAACCTTCCTGCAGAAGGGAAGCCATAAACGTCAGAAGACAGAGAATAAGCAAGCGAACGCAATTTCTGAAGGACCAAGGCATTTATCTAATGTGTTTAGCATCAGCATGAACATGTCAGGAGAAAAGTCAGAAAAAGTTCTTTATCAGACAGCCATTTCTACCACCTATTGGCATTTCCGTTACCAAGCGTTGACTTCAGAAGTTTGCCAGAACAACAACGCTGATTAAGGCTTTATTACAGAATCACAGAATGGCCAGGGTTGGAAGGGACCTCAAGGATCATGAAGCTCCAACCCCCCTACCACAGGCAGGGCCACCAACCTCCCCATTTAATGCTAGACCA